AATAAACATTTAAAAAATTAAAAAAAAAAAGAAAGAAAGAAAGAAAGGTTCTTCCCTAGAACCTGCAGAAGGAAGGAGACTTGCCGACATCTTGACTTTAGTCCAGGGAGACTGTCACTGGACTTCTGATCTCATTTCTGAACAAATGCATATTGTTTTAAGCCCCAGGTTTATGGTAGCTTGTTAGAGAAGAATCTTGGAAGTTTTCCTTTTCTTTTTCAGTTTTCTTCAGTTCCAAGACTGATCTTGGGATGTCACCAGGGACAGGACAGTTACTCTTGGCTAATCGTGGCCAGATCCTTCAAGGGGATGCCCCAAAGCAGAGGTGACATTGGAGAACAGGTGAGGCAGCTTCAGTCATCAAAACAAGGAGATTTTTCTGGCAATTCTGCCTGGAACAAATACTCAAAATAGGGAAGTGGTATGCAACTGTGTGGAGGCTGAAACAATTTTGAGGGACATAGTAGAAGAAACCTAATTTGCCTTAAAACAAATTGTTAGTAGAAATATGGGTGTTAAAGACTTAGCTCTCTGAGGTCTCAGATGTGAAGAGCATGGCAAAGAAAACCTATATGGTCTTTTTTAAAAAATTTTATTTATTTATTTTGAGAGAGAGAGAGAGTGTGTGTGTGTGTATGTGAGTGGGAGAGAGGCAGAAAGAAAAGATCCCCATGTATAGAGCCCCATGTGAGATCATGGCCTGAGCTGAAATCAAGAGTGGGATGTTTAACTGACAGAGCCATCCAGGCACCCCAAACCTAGATGGTCTTAAAGAATACTTATATCGGGGGTGCCTGGGCGGCTCAGTTGGTTAAGTGTCCGACTTTGGCTTAGGCCATGATCTCATAGTTCATGAGTTTGAGCCCCACATTGGGCTCTGTACTGACAGCTCAGAGCCTGGAGCCTGCTTCGTGCTCTGTTTCCCTCTCTTTCTGCCCCTCCCCCTCTCATGCTCTATCTCTCTCTGTCTCTCTCAAAAATAAATAAACATTAAAAAATTTTTTAAAAAAAGAATACCAGGACACCTGGGTGGCTCAGTCAGTTGAGAGTCCAACTTCAGCTCAGGTCATGACCTCATGGTTCATGGGTTCGAGTCTGCATCAGGCTCTGTGCTGACAGCTAGAGGGAGCACAGAAGCACCTCACCAGCAGTTTTTGGGTGTTTTGGGGTTCTGCTGGTGGAATGGTAGAAAGGGAAAGTGTAGGTTGGATTATGTCCTATAGTTATATAGAAAACAGGATTTGAGAGCAACCAACCTTGATTTTAGTTGAGATTTCCAAGTGAAATATTGGAGGTATGTCCTGGTTTCTTTTTGTTGCTTTTAGTAAGATATGAAAGAGATAAAAAGGATGGAACTGTTACAAAAAGGAGGCAGAATCTTATGTTTTGGGAAACTCACAGCCTATCCAGATTGATCTTCTGTCAGAGAGAAAGCCAATGCAGTGGTTGGACAACATGAAGTAGAAAGTAATTTAAAATTTTCATAAAATATACATCAAATTTACCATCTTAACCAGTGTTAAGTGTGACAGCCTTTGCTGACACAGGGAAAGTATCTGTGGTTAGAGTATGAGTACATAGGGCTCTTTGAGGGGGTAGGTGATTCAGGGGTCCTCTCAACCATCCAACAGAAACCAAAAACAGAGATGAGATTATTCCAGAAACATCTGAGTAGCTTCGTTTCTACTGGAGTGAATCCCTGTGACCCACAAAGTTTTTGAGAATATCATACCAATAGTAACACTGTCTAGCTGGACTTACAATGGTACAGAGAGAGGAAAGAACACAGTCAGGTTCCCCAAATTCTATAGGTGGAAAACAAGCTGAATATTACTCAATGACAGACATGTGTTACTCTTCATGAAAAAGTATGGCCCCAGGGGCACCTGATTGGCTCAGTTGGTAGGTCATGTGACTTTTTTTTTTTTTTTTTAGAAGGAGAGAGAGCAGGGGAGGGGCAAAGGGAGAGGAAGAGAGAGAATCTCAAGCAGGTTTCACGCCTAGCATGGAGCCCCAAGGAGCCCAACTCAGGCTTGATCCCACCACAGTGAGATCATGATCTGAGCCAAAAGCAAGACTCAGGTGCTTAACTCACAGCCACCCAGGTGCCCCACACATGTGACTGTTGATCTTGGGGTTGCATGTTCAAGACCCACCTTGAGGGTAGAGTTTTACTTTTTTTAAGAGAGCGAGAGAAAGAGAGAGAGAGAGAGAGAGAGCTGGGAAGAAGGACAGAGAGACAGAGTCTTAAGCAAGTCCCATGCTCAGTGTGGACCCAGATGTGGGCCTCAATCCCATAACCCTGAGATCATGACCTGAGCCGAAATCAAGGGTTGGAAACAACGGACTGAGGCACCCAGGTGCCCCAGGGGTAGAATTTACTTTAAAAAAAAAAAAAAATCTGACTCCAAGAGCGGAGCCATAGCTCCAGAGAGTGGTCTCAGGTCCAGGGAGTGGGCAGAGGTATGCATAATACGTTATCCCCAGGCTTTGGAACTTAATGGCATTTTCCTCGGTGGACTCTGAAGGTGATTGGATGGTGACTCCTTCCTGCCTCTCATTTTCTCCCTTTTTGAATGGGAGTGGGTTGTGACTGTTACCCTACGTCTGTCCTACCACTATATTTTTGAAGCACAGAACTGGTTTCTAATTTCACAGGTCACAAATGAAGGATTTTGCCTCAGGATAGATTATTCCCAGATACTGTGCCCACACCTAATCTAGGTTATTTAGATGTAAGGCTTGAGCCTTTGAGTTGGTGAGACGTAGATGAGGCTTTGGACTTGAGTTGATGTTAACGGGCTGAGGCTTTGGCCACATTCAAGATGGGCGAGTATATTTCTCATGCAAGATAGGTATGAGTCATTGGGAAGAGTAGACTGTGATGGGCTGAGTCCTCCTTTCACCACCCAAAAGATGTCCAGATCCTAATTCCCAAAACCTTGAATGTGTTACCTTGAAAGGGATTCTGCAGAATGTCATATACTGACGAAAAGAGATTCGATCTCTGAGTCAGAAACGATTTATTACTCACAGCCAAAAAACAAAACAAAAGAAAACAAAACAACACCAGACACATCAGTATTGTGTGTTACTTCTCCGTACCCTAACTCCCACAGCGTGACATGGTAACGATCAGATATCACCTCTCCATCATGCAGTGGGTTGCATGACATTAGACTCTAGGGTTTTATGGGGTTGCTAATATATCTTCCCATCCTCGCCTTGAGGGAGATTATCCATTGCTCTGGAATGCAAGCAAACATCTGGGGGTGGGGGGGTGGGGAGAAGGCTTTATCTTTACTTCCCTGGTCTGTCTCTAGCTTCATGATCCTCAACTGTCTCCCTTTACAAACATTCTTAACTTGATGCAAATACCCTCATTCAGAGAATCCACACTGAGCATACATGTGAGATAGTCAACACTTTTCTTCCAACACTTTATTTCAATCACCAAAAAGGAAAGGAAAAAATTACCTTCAATAGAATACAGGAGCTTAAAAATCAAATATAAGAATGCTAAGCTTGGTAGCTGATGGGAAGGAATTGCTCAACTTTACGGTTTTAGAGAGAGGCCTTGCCAAGAGAAACACCACCCATTGGAATCACGGAATATATAAGGGCAGAAGTTCAAATTAATTTGAGGAACACCTATGAAGCAATTTAAGTTGCTTATTATCAGCAACAATGTGAGGCAGTCATATCATTCAAGGCCATTTTTGAATGCTGATAGATTATCTGATGAAATCAGATTTTAAAATGTAAAAAAAAGGAGGGGTTGCCTAGGTGGTTCAGTCGGTTAAGCATCTGACTTCAGCTCAGGTGATGATCTCAAGGTTAGGGAGTTCAAGCCCCACACTGGGTTTGCTGCTGTCAGCGCAGAGCCTGCTTCGGATCCTCTGTTCCTCTCTCTGCCCCTCCCTTGCCTGCACACAGTCTCTTTCTCTCAAAAATAAACATACATTTAAAAAAATGTAAAAGAGGCTTTGCCACACATTTAATAATTATTCCTTAGAAGTTGACCTCAAGTTACAGATGTTAGAGATCATTATTTGTCAACCAGATATATAGTGCATACCCACTTACTATGTATCATACAAAACGGACATGAACTCTGCTCCTATGAAGCACTCATTCCAGGGTAGCAGAATGACAGAACTAGTAATCAAATAAACAAAAATATTACAAATAAGGGGCACCTGGGTGGCTCAGTCGATTGGGCGTCCAACTTTGGCTCCGGTCATGATCTCCTGGTTTGTGGGTTTGAGCCCTGTGTCAGGTTCTGTGCCGACAGCTAGCGCAGAGCTTGGAGACTGTTTCAGACTCTGTGTCTCCCTCTCTTTTTGGCCCTCCCCTGCTCATGTCATCTCTCTCTCTCTCAGAAATAAAAAAAAAAATTAAAAAATATTACAAATGATACACTACCAAGAAAAGAAATAAAGGGAATAATGGAACAAAAACTAAGGTGGTTAGGAAAATCTTCTTTAGGGAAGTCACATTAAATTCAATTTATTCTCAAAATGCCAGTCAGAGTCTTCTGTTTATTTCATCTTATTTTATTTTTTTAAGTAATCTCTACACCCAACATGGGGCTCAAACTTACCACCCCAAGATCAAGAGTCACATGCTCTACTGACTGAGCTGGCCAGGCACCCATGAAGTGAATCTTTTAAAGCCTATTTCACATCATGTCTTTCCTCTGCATAACCCTTCAATTGCTCTCCATTTCATGGACAAAAACCCAGAGGCCCTTTGCTGGTCTACAGAGCCCTTCATGATTTGGTCCCCATAAAATAGTTTCCTACCCTTCCTTCTTACTACTCTTTCTATAGCACTTATTACCTTTAAAATATTATAAGGCTTATTTATGGTCTCTCTCTCCACGCCAGGACCTAAGTTCCACTACAGAATGATCTTTGCTTTCTTCATTTTGTATCACAAATGTCTCTAGAACAGTTCCTGGTCTCTAACAGAAGTTCATGATAGTGTTGGTCAAAGAATGAAAAGTTACATTATAATTTTATTAATACTTAAATATGACAAAAGTGAAAACAAAGTTACCACATACACTGCTATGTTAACATCTAAATACAACATAGAAAAATATCACAAAAGAAGAAACACAAAAACATAAATCGGGGAAGATTTATTTAATGTGACAAGTGTGCTTGCCTGTTGATAAGCTCGCTCCAGTCAGGAACACAGGACGACAGTGCTACCCGCATATCTGCAGCACCATTCAATCCATTTCTTTCCTTTGTTTTTACCTGGGTTAGGACTGAAAACCCAAGCTCGCACAAATTAGCTGTTGTGAATGGTAACAGAAGCGGGATGCTCTTTCTACTTAGCAGAGGGAAGTCTTCCTTTACCTTAATCCAAAATGCTGATAATGTTAATGCTTCGTAATCAGTCTTCAATGTGTAAGAAGAACTGAGCTGCAGTAATTCACTCTCTTCTCCAGGCACCAAATTTAACTCGATTATTGATTCTGGGTTTCGAAAAGCAAAGGGATCTTTTACCCAGCTGTTTTCTCTTAATGTTTCAAATTTCTCTTCTGGGAAGAAATGGTTAAAAGTTTGAGACAGAGAAGTCAGATGCACCAATATCTCTAATTTTATTTCTTTCAAAAGGTTTTCACTAATAGCATTCTCTTCAATATGTTGCAAAAATCTTGGAAACATGTAGTAGCTGGGACGGTTGCTTTTAAGCCTCATTTGCCACAACAACGTCTTTCGGAACCCCTGGATGCGTTCCACATGTTGGAATATATTGCTACTTTTCCCTTGTAGTTTTAAACTCAGTTCATGAAGAATGCCAAAAATATCAGTTAAATATGCCAATTTCATCACCCAAATGTCATCTTCTAAAATACTTGCCAAGTGAGATTTTTTTTCAGTAAGAAAAGTGTGGATCTCATTCCTGAGTTCGTAAACTCTGCTTAGTATTTTGCCGCGAGACAACCAACGAACTTTGGTATGATACAGTAAGTGGGTATGATTCGTTCCAATCTCTGAACAAAATGTTTCGAGAAGCTGGTTATTAAGTTGGCTTCCTTAAATAAAGTTGGCAACTTTCACTGCGTTTTTCAGTACTTCCATGAGATTCTGTGGAATCTCTCTGGAGGCGAAAGCTTCACGATGGATAAAACGGTGATTCCACACAGCACCGTTATCAGTAACTTCTAGCAATTTTCTAAGCACTCTGCTGTGTCTTCCAGTTTTGCTTGCTGCTCCGTCACTCGTAATTCCTTTGCAGTTCTTCCAGTTCAGTTTATATTGGCCAGCGATGCACTTCTCTAATTCTGTAAAAATCTCTAATCCACTTAGGTGTGAGGTTATATTTAAACAACACAAAAAGTCCTCCATGAAGTCATTTTGCCACGCGTATCTAACATAAACCAAGAGTGTTGTGCCGCTCCCCAGATCAGTGCTCTCATCGAGCTGGATCTCAAAGTCTATACCAGTCTGTAACCGGGTAAGAAGCATCCTTTCTAAGTGTTCCGCAATAGCACACATTCGAAGAGATATTATGTTATCACTAGATATCATTTTTAATTTGTCAGCTGATTTGTCATCAAAAATTGCACGTACCGTATCCAAACATGCTGGAAGAATGATGTTTTCAGCCACCGTGTGAGCCATTTTTCTCTTTTGCCACTTGATAAGCAGCCAGATATGATGATAGTAAGGCCTTCTCACTAACAGCTGTAGGACAACCAAGAAATTGTGTGGACAACTTTACATCCTTTTTCTTTCTTTGGAAATACTCAAGAGGCTTATCAGTGAGTTCAGCATGCTGAGTTTCTAAGTGCCTTTTTAATTTAGAAGGTTTTAAGCTTTCATTTGCAAGAATATTATTATAAATAACACACTGAGGTCTGTCATTTTCAAAGGGTTTTTCACATTTGATAAAACCGTATTTTAAATAATTGTCATGTCTTGCAGTTTTTTCTTTTTGAAATGTGGCTCACATGAAGTTGAAGTTTGCAGATTAGAGTCAGTGTTTCTCTCAATATGCTCACTACTCACATTTCCAGATCCAGCAGCTGAACTTGGACAAGCTTCTGCACATATCACTTCATTTTTCCTCTCTCTTTTAAAAAAGATAGGATCCATTTTAAAAGCAACTCTGATTAAATGTTTTAAATGGTACTAAAAGAATTACATATATATTTATACACATATATGGCCTAGATAACATCTTTCCAAAAAACATAGTTTGCAAATGCATCTCAGTTGAACATTTCAGACTTCACATCTAGTTGTAAGTCATGGTAACATAAAACTAGACTGCTCACCAACTTTATTATTATGAAAAGTCAATAAGACATGAGTGGACAAATGCTTAAAAAAACATTTCTTGGTCAGTATACACTCTATTCATTATATACCCTACATTAATTAATTATCTTTTCAGATATTGAAATTGACCTTAGTATTCCTGGTAGCACAATTCTGGCAAAGGATTCACACAAAGCACTTGATGTATTTTACTTTGTTTTAAAAAATTTTTCAGTGTGACTCACAGAACTGATTTCATAACTTTCTAATAGGTCATACACAGAATGTGAAAAATATTGATATAGAGAGATTTTCCTCTGCTGAGCTGAGCTTGAGTATGTCTGCTTGATGATCAAAGCAGCTAGCTAATCTGTTAGGCTGCTGGCTGGTACAGGAACTTTCTTGAAGTGGTAGGTATATATCCTACATTTTCATTATTGATACTTTATGGTGGTAAGAGTTTTAAGAATTCCAGTTATGGTCTGACCCCATGAGGATCCAATGAGGCTCTCCATGGCTAGGTCAACTACCAAGTCAGACCTGATGATATATTTTTAGAACTTTCTTGAACTTCATCCTTGACCTGGGAATAAGAGCAGAGAGATGACATTAAAGCTTTATAATACAGATGGTATTATTGCCAGTTATGGCAACCTTCAGGATATCCAAGGTCATGGGTGCTGAAACAAAAGGCTTAAAGCTCTTCTCATCACTATGTTATATCAGCTTAGGTCTATTTCTATAAGGCAAATCATCTAAACCAGTATTGGTAAATAGAAAAAATGATGTCAGGAGCACCTGGGTAGCTCAGTCAGTTGAGCATCCAACTTCAGCTCAGGTCATTATCTCACAGTTTGTGAGTTCAAGCCCCGCAGCAGGCTCTGTGCTGACAGCTCAGAGCCTGGAGCCTGCTTCAGATTCTGTGTCTCCCCCTCTCTCTGCCCCTCCCATGCTCATGTACTGTCTTTCTCTGTCTCTCAATAATAAAAACGTTTAAAAAAATTAGAAAAAAAGAAAGTAAATAAATTTTTTAACTAAAAAAAACAAGAAAAATTGATGTCAATAAAACCTGGATGTTGGCATCAGGAATTGCAAAATACACTTAATAAAGCTGAATACAGCAAGAGGTGCCTGGGTGGCTGTTTGTTAAGTGTCTGACTTCAGCTCAGGTCATGATCTCGTGGTCTGAGAGTTCAAGCCCTCTGGCGGGCTTGGTACTGACAGCTTGGAGTCTGGAGCCTGCTTTGGATTCTGTATCTCCCTCTCTCTGCCCCTCCCCCACTCACACTCCGTCTCTCAAAAATAAATAAATGTTAAAAAATTTGGGGTGGGAGGGCGCCTGGGTGGCTCAGTCGGTTAAGCGTCCGACTTCAGCTCAGGTCATGACCTCACGGTTCATGGGTTTGAGCCCCCCATTGGGCTCTGTGCTAACAGCTAACTCAGAGCCTGGAGCCTGTTTTCAGATTCTGTAGCTCCCTCTCTCTCTCTGAGCCTCCCCTGCTCACGTTGTCTCTCTCTCTCTCAGAAATAAATAAAACATTAAAAAAATTTTTTTTTTAATTTTTGAAAAGCTGAATACAGCAAGCCATGGAGGAGCATGGTTCATTTGCCATTTTAGACTTCCTCTTAGCCCAGTTTGGGTATGTCCATCTTAGAAGTACAGGTATCCCCTACTTTCTAAAAGTTGGTGTGATGCCATTTCACATTTCAGACAGACCTACACTAATACCTGTTTTTGCTAACTGAAAGAAATCTAAAGAGGATTTTCTATGAAAAAAGCCATTACCATCTTAACGTAGGTCTTTGGTAAAAGCAAAGTGGCCTAACATCAACTTTCTGAAAGCAGGGGATTTCATAGGAATGCTCTGAGGGGACACTGGGGCTTCCTGCACTGTTGTTTGATCTTAGTGTTATTTGGGTCTTAGTATCATAACCCAGGACTTACTTATGTACCCTTCCATCAAGTTGTTTCACCGTTTTGGGGGAAAGAGGGAAAGTCTTATACTTACTGTGTTGTTTACTAGAAATTCAACAACTTAAGGGTGCCTGAGTGGCTCAGTCAGTTAAGTGTCTGACTCTTTTGATTTCAGATCAGGTCATGATCTCATGGTTTGTGAGTCTTAACCCCACATCTGGCTCAGTGCTGACAGTGTGGAGCCTGCTTTGGATTCTCTCTCCCCCACTCTCTGGCCCTCCTCTGCTCATGCTCTTTCCCTCCCAAAATAAGTAAATAAATTTTAAAAAAAGAAATTCAACACTTTACAGTGTGAATAGCTTTTATCAGAATTTTTTGCATTAATATTTCCTTATTACTTGTATTCTTGATGCTCTCTGGCATCTGGATTCTCACTAATCAGGGAGGGATTGGCCATCCCCCAAAACTACCCTAGAGATGGCAAACAATAAAACTGATAGCAAACAACTAAACACCAGTTAACAACTTTCATATGCAAACTAACCATTCCAGAGTCCATTGAGCACGCACGCGCGCATGCATACACACACACACACACACACACACACACACACACACACACACACACACACACCACCCCATCCCCATCAAACTCTTAAACTCTGGCAATATTCCCATCTGCCCAATCATCTCAGGGCCAGCTATCTGACAACTAGGGACAGCCCCTATGCCCTAGAGCCTATTGAAATAATCAAAAACCCAATTTTAAACCTGCTTAACCAGCTCACCCTGCCTCACTGATTCTCTTCCTAGAAAACCCAGGCTTTTCCACAATACAGGCTTTTCTGAAATTTTCCTTCCACTCCCGCTGCCTCCTGACCAATCCCGTGTTTCCCCACATGGCCCCCTAGCATGGCTTGGCATTCTCTACCTCCTGTCTCTAGGAATCTGGGAGTATAAAAACTTCCTATTTTGTGACATTTCTGTGTCTATATGTCTTATCATGCCTGATTAAAACAAATCCTGAATATGTTTTGAATAGTTTCTTGTTGTTGTTATTGTTCTAGTTACAAAGTCATATAGTTTGGTCCTAATCCTATTTTCCCCATGAGGTCTGTTATTTTTCAGTATAAAAATTCTGCATTCCAGGAAGTCATAGTGTTAAAACTGAAACACACATTATCTTAAGATTACTTATTAATTGCCTGGTGAATGGATTTGCCCCATTCACTTGAGAGGAATATTAGAATCCCCCAATTAGGGGACACACTAAATATTTTCATTCTAGCTGCCACCAATTCTCCACCTGAGTGAAGCAGAGTAGAGAATACTTATATACTAGGATGCAAGCAAGGTATGGGTATAAGGAATAGCTGGTGGCTCTGACAAATGTGCTACACGTTAGTTCAATGTCATCAATGTTCATCAGCCTGTTGTCATTGTATTTATGTGGGGACCTAATCTTTTAATTATACAGCCAGCTTTGGGGCGCCTGGGTGGCTTAGTCGGTTAAGCGTCCGACTTGGGCTCAAATCATGATCTCACAGCTTGTGGGTTCGAGCCCCACATCGGGCTCTGTGCTGATGGAGCCTGCTTCAGATTCTTTGTCTCTCTTTTGCTCTGCCCCTCCCTTGCTCATGTTCTCTCTCTCTCTCTCTCTCTCAAGAATAAACATTAAAAAAATATTTTTTTATTTATAAAGCCAACTTTGAAAGAGGCATCAGAGAATGGTAACCTTGAATAAAAAAGATGTCAGAAAAGACGATAAAAGAAAAGACTATAGTCTTGGTGATATTCTATTGTGAGACTTCACTAATTATATCTATATGGACTTTACTATTAACAATAATTTGGCAATTGACAAATGTATGACACGTATCCATCACTACAATACCATACAGAGTATGTTCATTGCCCTAAAACTCCTATGTTCTGCCTACTCATCTCTATCTCCCTCCAATCCCTGGTAATCACTGATTTAAAAAAAAAAAATGTCTCCCGTTTTACCTTTTCTGGAATGTCATATAATTGGAATTTACAGTATGAAGAATTTTTACATTGGCTTCTTTTACTTAGTAATACGTATTTAAGGTTCCTCCATGCCTTTTCATGGGTTGACAGTTCATTTCTTTTTAGCACAGAATACTAGTCCATTGTCTGGATATAAAAGTTTATTTATCCATGCACGTACTGAAAGACTTCTTCGTTGCTTCCAAAGTTTGGCAATTTTTTTTTAAGTTTATTTATTTTGAGAGAGAAAGTGTAAGTGGTGGAGGGGCAGAGAAAGAGGAGAGAGCCAGAATCCCAAGCAGGCTCTGCACTGCCTGCGTGGAGCCTGACACAGGGTTTGAACTCATGAATGGTGAGATCATGACCCAAGCCAAAGTTGGACACTTAACTGCCTGAGCCACCTAGGTACCCCCCAATTTTTTTTAATGAAAAAAGCAGCTATAACTATCAGTTGTAGATTTTTGTGTGAATATAACTTTTCAACTCCTTTGGGTAAATACAAGGGTATCTGATTGCTGGACTGTACATACGGGTGAATTTTAAATGAGGATCCCAGCAAAGGCTGTGTATCTTTTTGTTGCTGGAGCATACCATAATTGCGGATACAGATTAGGCATTATAGACAAAGTGTAGTTGTTGATTGATTTTTTTTTTGAAAATGGTGTCAATGTTAATTCATTTATACTGGCTGACTTCAAATGCCCAAGGGACTACTCTGAGGATCTCATGAATCATAATGGAGTAGCATGGTACTCAGGTACCTTGTTGGAGGGTCTCTCTGATATGAAATGTCAGAAAACAGAAGCAAGTTAGAACTGAAGAGTACAGATCTGAAGGTACAGGCAGAAGTAAAGGTGGCTGTGAGATGGGTCACACGATGTAGCATAATTCAGTGAAAAACAGGGATGTGAAGAGCTGGTCAAGAGAAATCTATCCTATTTGGTAAGTTTAGCACTGGACAAATGTTAAATCTTGAATTTAAGGGCTGAAACTTTACAAAAAGCTTTAATGGGCATCTTGGAGCAATGCTGGAAAGTAACTTCAGAACTGTGCCAGCAAGGGAGCAGCAGACGCCATGTGAGAAGACAGGTTGCTACCAGAGTAGGATTAAGTTGTAATGTGCAATAGTACAAAATGCATCACCTGGTCTCTAGGCTAGCACTCTTTGGGCATAGTTTTCTGTTTATAGTAATATAAAGGAACGGTGCCATCAGGAAGACCTACAGACAGAGACAGAGGTCAGTGTTTATTTATCAACATGACTAGTTATTATAAATGCTTTAACTATGGCTAAGTAGCCTAAGGAACTAGAAATCTACTGTATATAGTACCAGACTATGCTTAAAAAGATGTGCACCTGGGAGAGAATTCAGGGACTGGTAGATGCCTTTGACTTCATCTCAGTTAGAAGTTTCCCTGAAAGATGACATGTTCCAAATATTTCACTGTGGTCTGAAAAAGGCGAAGCTTTTCTTATGTCCTATCTTCCAAAATAGGTTAGTAGGATGAAAGTTCATTTCTCTTGGATGTCAGAGCATGGTGTATTATCATCAGCGTTTAAACCGGAACTAATTGGAAAATCAACTGCACTTAGATTTCTTTTTAATGAATAAGAAGAGTTGGAGGGAAATTCACAGTAGACTTAAATGCAATCTGACTCAGATATACAGCTGCCCTTAAAAGGTGAAAGAGAATAATTACTGATTTCTTCTCAGTTAAAATTTCCAATAGAGAAGCTCACTTGTTTTTAATACTTCTTTCCCTACAAGAAATCTCAAACCACTATAGTGGGGTTTTTTTTGTTTTGTTTTTAAATATTTTTTTAAATTAATCTTTACACCCAACTTGAGGCTTGAACTTTCAATCCCAAGATGAAAAGTAGCATGCTCTCCCAATTGAGACAGCCAGATGCCCCTCAAACATTACAATTTTAAGGATAAAATATGCCATGGCCCCCAGGTATTTTATAGATATTTACCTAATATAGGTAAAGAAAAATGTGTCTCAATAAAAAAAAAAAAAATGGAGCTAAATGTGCTCCAAAGTCTTTAGTTTGCCCTCCCTTTTCGTAACTTGTCTCTGAAAGGTGTCTTAATGGGAAGTCAATTTTGGGTGACAGGCTCAAATCTGAAGTTTTTGGTCTAATCATAAGTTGTGGAATTTTAATTTAAAGAGACATATCCGTAATTAGAAGTCAACATACATCGGAGCATACACATACCATAACGTGATCGAGTACATCAGTGTAATTCCACAGCCCAGCTGGGCTCTGCTGGGACAGATCCCTTCTGGCCAAAACTTAAAAAATCATAAATGTGTGCACTGATGCTTAAGATACACGCATTGAGGTTGACTGTTGTCATTTCTGAGCAATAATGCTCTTTAATCAGACGTACATATAGTGTAGCTATCTTTTATGACAAAATTTCAATTCAGGTGACCAACTAGTTGTAGTGGAAAGTTTTTTATATACTAAGATGCATTAATATAGTCGTGTGATGTGGTTTCAGGTTGCTGATTTTGCACTAATGAATCTTATCTACCTGTTCCTAGAATGTGTTTGTCTATGGTAGGAACTCAGTAAATGTATCTGAAATAAATGAGAGAATGAATGACACTAGTTTTACCAGTCAGTGAAAAATAAATTACCTAACTATATTTGAACAGTTTGGCAATATGTAAGACAAAGGCTAGTAAAACATATTCCTTAAAATAGGATAATCAAAGATATCCTATTTCACAATAAGCTGCTTACGTTAAAGTAGCAGAAAGAATGGTCCTATAAAAACACAAATGTAAACTATGTTTAGATTTAGTTTATAAAGCTTAACACCTAAATCTACCTAAGAATTACTCACCTAAAATACTAGTATCTCATTTGTATTATTAAGTATGAATTACTATTTTTTCAGACAAAATCAACTGTCATTTAATCATTCTGGTTTTTTCTATTTTTACTACTCCTACTTCAACCCAATCATCTTGGGAGTTTATAATTGGCTATGCTTCAGACTGTTGTATTCAAAAAGCATTTTTTTTTAAAAGTTTATTTCTTTTTGAGAGGGCGTGATCACAGGAGTGAGGGAGGGGCAAACAGAGAGGGAGAGAGAGAATCCCAAGCAGGCTCCACACTGCCATCCAGAGCCCAACACATGGCTGAACCCACAGACAACTGAGGTCATGATCTGAGCTGAAATCAAGTCTGATGCCTGACAGACTAAGCCACCCAGGCACCCTCAGAAAGTATTCTTAAAGAGCTAACTCCCTCTCCTAAATCAGACAATTCACCGACAGTAATAGCAGAGGTAATGTATTAGTACCAGGATATAGACCTGGTAGAAGCGGTGATGAAAAGCATGGTGAAATCCTTTTTTTTTTTTAAGTTTATTTATTTATGAAGTAATTTCTATCCCTAATGTGGGGCTCAAACTCCCAATCTCTGAGATCAAGAGTCTCAAGCTCTTCTGACTCAGACTGCCAGGCTCCCGCCAGGTAAGTCCTTTTTTAACTGAAACAGGATGCAAGACATCGGCTAAGTGAACACAGAAGTAGAAAATGTTGCAAGTTTGACGGAAGAAGGTGTGAAATAGTCCTTCAGGAAGGTGGTGCTATGAATGGTCTAGGAAAATGTTTCAGGATTTTCAGCAAGTTATACATGATTGTCTTATACGTTTAATGCAATGATTATTATTGCTGTAAGCTTAACAGGTGGTCTTTAATTCCCTGACACCAATTCTTGTATCTTAGATAGATCTCCATAGTATTACGAATATTATCTTCTAAAAATACAGTTTTTGGGAGTGCCTGGGTGGCTCAGTTGGTTAAGTGTCCCTCGTTGGCTCACATCATGATCTCACAGTTTGTGAGTTCGAGCCCCGCAGCAAGCTCTGTGCTGGCATCTGGAAGCCTGGAGCCTGCTTTGGATTCTGTGTCCCCCTTTCTTTCTGCCCCACCTCCACTTGCGCTCTGCCTGCCTCTCTCTCTCTCTCTCTCAAAAATAACATTTAAAAAATAATAAAAATAAAAATACAGATTATTTATTGTTATTGCCAGGTACTCATAAAAAATAGTTTTGATCAGTTTTCTCATAATTCAAAAACCTCTAATGGTTCTCAGCTAGTGCATTCTCCTCATGGCAATATCTTTAAATCTAAGCCTCATCTTATCTTTCATACAACTCTACTAGGTTTTAAGCTCTAGAACTGTCAAAGTTCTTGAACTTCGTCAAGCAAGTCCATGATTCTGGTTTTGACTAGTATTCTGTTTGTATGGAATATTATTTAAGTCATTTGAGATCCTATTCATTCTTTCAAAGATTTCAGCATTTGTGTCAGGACTGAAACAGCATTCAAATGCTATAGCATCCATTCACTTAACTAACGTTTAGGAACTTACAATGTATCAGGCACTGGGCATACAAAGCCAAAAAAAAAAAAAGATAAATACTGAAAAATTAATATAAGGGAATACCTGCTCAGCTTTTATGATGAATGAACCAGAGTTACATCACACTGGTAATCTTAAACATTAAGTAAACAAGCAAGCTACCAAAGGATATATACGTTGCTGATTGCTAAAATTATGCAAAAACAGTGCTATATATGTAATTAAAATTAAAACACAAAGGTGCTTGGCAGAGTGGTTACCTTGGGCAAGAGGGAACAGAATGAGATACGGTGGAGCAAAGGACTTCAATTTATATTATCAAACAATAAGTGTAATTTACTTCTGCAGCTGGGTGGCAAATACACAATGTATGATTTATACTTTTGTCTGTATAAAATATTCTTCATTTGTAAAGGATATGTAAGGCTTGATTCCCTCCTGAAGATACTGCAGATCTGCCTCATAACCAGTCACCTAAAATTACCTTCCATCTCTTGTTCTCTCGTTTCCCGTATTGCCTTGATGCACTCATTAGGTAGCACACTAGACCCTAAGGGTAGGAACTTGCAGATAGCACCTTTAGGTACATTCACATGTTATCCTCTTCCCAGCGGATTCCTGACTTCTCCCCCGCCCTCTGGGGTCCAACTAGACCTTCTAAGAATTTCAGCTTGCCCCCTTCCGACCGACCCTAGAATAGCTCCCCTCAGAAACCCGGGACATCTCCCGCTAGCCGGCTCTGGTCCATCCCTATCAGAGGCTGCCTTTCTTCTCACCTCCAGCCCAGCGCCACAAGCCTCCCGCTTCGCTCGACGAGCAGCGGCTCAGCTCGCCCCCAAGCCCCCACCCATTCCCTACGCAACACCACTTCCGGTCTAACCTCGGCGTTCACAAACGTCTCATTTCCAGCGGAGGGGGGTGGGCCGGCTCCGCCCTCTGCGCACGCGCAAAACGGCGGACTGGGCCGAAATTTTCGCCTCCCGGCGCTCTCGCGGCAGTCTCGCGGTATTTGCTTCTTCAGCGGGAGGTATTTGAACGCTCTGGCGGTAACCTACCCCTGGGTGGTCAGCTTGGGCGGATTCGATCTTAAGTCGACGTTGGAGTGTGGTCTCGCGGTCGTTCGGTCCCACTAGGCCCCGGCGCGGGCGAGGGTCGTCCCGGCCAAGTCTCAGCGCCATGGGGGCGGAGAAGAGGCTGCCGGCGGCTCGGGAGGCCTTTCAGCTGGCGCAGCAGCCGCACCAGAACCCGGCGAAGCGGGTGGTGGCGCCGAGCCGCACCTGCTGCAAGGTCAGCGCGGCCCCAGCCTCGCCCGGAGTCCCCGCTGCGCCCCCGGGACCCACGAGTGATCCTCTGAGCGCCCGCTAATCCTGACGGTCTTCGTAAAAGGATTGTAGGGAATTTTGAGTTTTAGTACCATCTTTCCTGGTTTACTTATTTAGAGACCCATATTGTATTTACTAATCATGATCTTGTGTCTCTTTAGGTGAACAGTTCACTGATTTTTAACATACATCTTCATTTCATTAAACTAGGTTTAAGATACAACTATAGATACATATTTATGTTTCTGCTCTTGTAATGATTTTAACAAAACACACTTCTTAATTATTGACAAGATCAGTGCAAATAAGTGCATCTTTGTTACAAACCAGAGATTTTTCAGATTGATATAGTTATCCCTTTTTTTTTTTTGGTGGACTCCACACCCGGTGCCTGTGGTGGGGGGCGGGGGTAAGGGGAGGTGGTGGTGGTGGTGACCCACCTCCGCTGGTACTCAAAACCCTGAGATCAATACCTGAGCTGAGATTCAGAATCTGCCACTTAACCAACTGAGCCCTCCAGACGCCCCTGTATTTATTGCCTTTTATAGTTAATTAATTAAAATAATTTTTAAAATATAATTAAAAAATAGAAAAAAATGTTAGGTGCAGAAGTTTTTATTTTAACTCAGACTTCACACATATTGATCAGTAAATATGTTTTTTAAATTTTTTATTAGTTTATTTTTGAGACAGAGACAGACAGAGCATGAGCAAGGGAGGGGCAGAGAAAGAGGGAGACACAGAATCTGAAGGAGGCTCCAGGCTCTGAGCTGTCAGTACAGAGCCTGATGCGGGGCTTGAACCCACAAACTGCAAGATCATGACCTGAGCTGAAGCCGGACGCTCAATCGGCTAAGCCACCCAGGTGCCCCTGATCAGTAAATATTTTACAAGCACAAACTACCTAGAGAGAAATGCTCTCTCCTTCCTAGTCTCCATCCAGTACTGTCCTTCATAGTCTTCTACAGGTAACTATTTTTAATCAGTTTCATGTTTATCTTTCCATTCTTCATGCAAATACAAGCAAATGTGACTATGCATTCTTATTTCCCTCCATTCCCTTCTTCAATATTTTCTGCATTATTTTGCAGTTTGCTTTTTTCACTTCATAGTATATTCTGGATACTCCTTATCACTATCTAGTTAAATTTCCTCATTTTCTCCCCTTTTTTAACTGTCACATATTCCATTTTGTGGACATACTCCAATTTATAGCCAATCCACGATGTGTACACACTTGTTTCCAGCATTTACACATTCAAAGCATTTTTTTTTAATGTAGTCTTTACACCCAAGGTGGGGCTCAAACTCACAACCCTGAGACCAAGAGGTGTGCTCTGCAGACCAAGCCAGCCAGGTCCCTGAGAAACGATGTTTTAATGAATACATATAATTTCCTACATTTGCACTGGTAACTGTCAGATTGTCTGAACAGAACTGGGTCAAATAGGGAATTTTTTAAATTTATTTTTAAAATTTATATCCCAGTTAGTTAGCATATAGTGCAACAATGATTTCAGGAGTAGATTCCTTAATGTTCCTCACCCATTTAGCTCCTTCTCCCTCCCACAACCCTTCTAGTAACTCTCTGTTCTCCATATTTAAGAGTCTCTTATGTTTTGTCCTCCTCCCTGTTTTTATATTCTTTTTGCTTCCCTTCCCTTAGGTTCATCTGTTTTGTAGCTTGAAGTCCTCATGAGTGAAGTCATATGATAAATGTCTTTCTCTGACTAATTTCTCGTAGCATAATACCCTCTAGTTCCATCCACATAGTTGCAAATGGCAAGATTTCATTCTTTTTGATTGCTGAGTAATACTCCATTGTATATATATCACATTTTTTTAAATGTTTATTTATTTTCAAGAGAGAGAGAGGGGGCAAGCAGGGGAGGGGCAGAGAGAGAGGGGGACACAGAATCCGAAGCAGGCTCCAGGCTCTGAGCTGTCAGCACAGAGCCTTATATGGGACTTGAACCCACGAACCCCATATGAGATCATGACCTGAACCGAAGTCAGACGCCTAACTGACTGAGCCACCCAGGTGCCCCATACCACATCTTCTTTATTCATTCATCCATTGATGGACATTTGGGCTCTTTCCCTACTTTGGCTATTGTTGATAGCGCTGCTATAAACATTGGGGTGCCTGTGCCCCTTCAAAACAGCACACCTGTATCCCTTGGATAAATACCTAGTAATGCAATTGCTGGGTCATAGGGTAGTTGTATTTTTAATTTTTGAGGAACCTTCATACTGTTTTCCAGAGTGGTTTCCCCAATTTGCATTCCCACCAACAGTACAAAAGAGATGCTCTTTCTCTGCATCCTCGCCAACATCTGTTGTTGTCTGAGCTGTTAATGTTAGCCATTTTGACCAGTGTGAGGTGGGATCTCATCGTGGTTTTGATTTGTATTTCGAAATTTTTTTTTTAAGTTTATTTTGAGAGACAGAGACAGCATAAGTGGGGAAGGGGCAGAGAGAGAAGAGAAGGAGAGAATCCTACACTTCTTTGCCAGAGCCCAACTCCTGGCTGGAATTCATAAAACCTTGAGATCACGGCGTGAGCTGAAATCAAGTTGGAGGCTTAACCGACTGAGCCACCTAGGTACCCATTTTAGTAGATCTATTTGTAAATGTGATAAATACTGAAGCTGCCCTTCATAGAGTGAAGGGCCAAGTATGAGAGGGTTTTTTTGTTTTTTTGTTTTTTTTTTTTGAGGAGGAAGAGGTTTGGGAATCACTGGACTATAACCAAGGGGACATTTTATGATAGACAAGAAATTTGTAAGTGAAATAACAGTGTGGGAATATGAGTTACAATGATAAACAACATATCAAAAAGAAATTGCTGTATTATAGGAAGGCATAAATAGAAAAGGCAGTGTTGAATTGACACCAGTGGCTTTTTTCTTCCCCCCATATTTTTTAACTGAACTGTATGTATATTTGGTACATTTTTCTAAATAGATTGAAAGGTGTGTGGAAGAATCAAAAGAATCTTTTGTAATCAAAATCTGTGCTGCCTTTCTCCATAACGGTAGTAATTAAAAAACAGGAGAGACAGGAGTAAATGATTATTCAAGTCTATTTTCCTTAATAAGTTCTTCTGGGTAGGCATTTAAGAGTTATTAAGGAATAAAAATTTTAGTTTGCTGAGAAATTATTAATATCTTGAAGAGTCTTAGGTCAGTGCTAGGGATAAAGACTTATCCATGTAGTTTGTGAAGGATTGAATATTTCTGGTTCTTAAAACATTTTTTGGGAGCACTTGTTCATACCTTAAATACACTATGATAGTCTGTAAATATGAACCTGCAGCAGAGTGAGAAATAGAATTTGCAGCAGTTTATTTTACTTCATTTAGCCAAACAGAAGGCCGATGAAGACAGTGACATTCTAAGTTATTTTAATTATTTTACCTTCTCTTTTTTAAAAATATTTACTTATTTTTGAGAGACAGAGAGAGACAGATCATGAGCAGGGGAGGGGCAGAGAGAGAGGGACACACAGAATCTGAAGCAGGCTCCAGGCTCTGAGCTGTCAGCACAGAGCCTGATGTCGGACTCGAACCCACAATCTGTGAGATCATGACCTGAGCTGAAGTCAGACGTTTAACCGACTGAACTACCCAGGCGCCCCATTTTACCTTCTCTTGAAAGTATTCTGGAGTTTTGTCATTTTTTATTAACATATACAGTAAGTGTATATATCATTTAAAAATCTGGGCTTGGGGTGTCTGGGTGGCTTAGTTGGTTAAGTATCCAATTCTTGATTTCAGCTCAGGTCGTGATCTCACAGTTCATGATTTTAAGCCCCATGCTGGGCTCCTCCCTGAGGACGCTGAGCCAATTTGGGATTCTCCCTCCTTCTCTCTCTGCCCCGCCACTGCTTGCTATCTCTCTAAATAAATAAACTTTAAAAAATTACTGAGTTTAAAGCTTTAAGAGCTTATAAAATTTATTTTATTTTTTTTAATGTTTATTTTCTTTTTGAGAGAGTGGACAAGCAGCGGAGGGGCAGAGAGAGAGAGAGGGACAGAGGATCTAAAGCACGTTCCGCAATGACAGCAGTGAGCCTGATGTGAGGCTCAAACTCAGGAACCATGAGATCATGACCTGAGCCAAACTGGGACACTCAACCAACTGAGCCACCCAAACACCCCAAGAGCTTGCATAATTTATAGAAAATACAGCTAGGGGGGCGCCTGGGTGGCTTAGTCGGTTGAGCGTCTGACTTTCGCTTAGGTCATGATCTCGCGGTTCGTGGGTTCGAGCCCCGCGTTGGGCTCTGTGCTGACTGCCAGCTCAGAGCCTGGAGCCTATTTCAGATTCTGTGTCTCCCTCTCTCTCTGATCCTCCCCTGCTCACGCTGTCTCTCTCTGAGTCTCAAAAATAAGTAAAAACATTTTTTAAAAATCCACAAAGCAATCAATGGGATTCATCACATCAGTAAAAGAAAGAACTGCATGATCCTCTCAATAGATGCAGAGAAAGAATTTGACAAAATATAACATCCTTTCTTGATAAAAACCCTTAAGAAAGTAGGGATANCATGGAAAATCTTGTCTACTCTCACCTA